TACATATTAAAAAAACGAAAAATTTTTGCGTAAATCGTTTCTCTCGACGGATTGAAATGGCAAAGAAAAAAAAAGCTTGAAGATAATTTTAAAGTACTTTTTCAAAACAGAAAGTTTCATTTAAAAACTTTATTATGTTATATTTAAAATAAACTTTGTTTATTTGTATAGGTACAAGTTATTTAACAGTAAAAAGACGTGGGCTTAATGTTTAAATTTGGTCTGCTCTTTTAGTATAGTTTGGGATTACTAAGCGTAAAATTTTTAGATTATATCATATATTGTAGATTCTTTAATGAGTTCGGTTTTTTAGTAATAAATATTAAATTTGCTTCACTTTACGTGTACCTATCTATTTTCTAAATATATATGATTAATTCTTTTGCGTGTATTTATTAGTTGGTAAATTTCTTCATCGTACGGGTTTTATGTAACAACCTGTGCTTTTTTCGAAAGCTTATTCGTATGGATATATATATATAAATCATGTGATTTTCATATAAACCCGTGCAAATAAGTTATTTTCGTAAAAAGCCAAAACAAAATTTATTTTTTACTAAAAACTATGTCACTATAAATTATGATTCTAAAATTCTCATTTTTGGGTGTTGTGGTTTTTTAAAAAAAGTCTCAATTTCAGGGTAAAGACTATATTAAATTTGGTGGTTTTTAAAATTCTCACTTGCTGCGAAGACTAATATTAGTTCTGGTGGTTTTTTTAAAATTCTTATTTACTGACGAAGACTAATATATGTATTAAATTGGGTAGCTTTTTAAATTCTTATTTGCTACGAGAAGACTAATATTATGTCGGGTAGTTTTGAAAATTTTTATTCGCTTGCGAGACTAAAATTAGATTGGGTGGTTTTTTTAAATTCTCATTTGCAGAACGAAGACTAATATTAGGTCGAACAGTTTAAAATTCTCATTTGCTGGGGCGAAAACTAATATTATACCTGGTGGTTTTGTAAAATTTTATTTGATGGGTGAAGGCTAATATTAGGTTGGGTGGTTTTTATATTTCTTATTTGCTGGTTGAAGATAATATTAGTTCAGGTAGCTTTTTAAAATTCGCATTTGCTGGGTGAGAACTAATATTAATTCGAATGTGAAACTATTAACCTTTTTGTAATTTAAAGAAATGTTATTTATTTCTAACAACAAATTCATTTAAAATGTCTTTCGTTCTTAACTTATGGTTTTGAAGTTTTCCAGTATTTACAACAAACAAGTGATTTCTTAACTGTTGGGCTTCCGGATCGTTGACCGTAAGGCTGTTGTTTGATATTCTGGAACGAAAAAATCAGCTCAAATGTGTCAGAAGTTTCACGAACAAGAAGAAAGGAAAAGTAATTATAAATAAAACTAATCTAAATAATTAAATAATATGTTTAAAAGAAGCGACGCACAGGTTATTACGTCAAACCCGTACGATAACTATAATTAATAAATTTTTTGTCGTTTTCTAGTAGTGTTTAATCATCCAATTTTTTTAAAAATGATTGATTAATTATCACGGGAAATCACGGGTCGATTTAACAATCAGACGAATTTCGTCCCATGAGAGTACCTGTGAAAAAAATTCAGACTTAAATTATGTGCGTTCTGCGCACTAAATTTTAAAATTGAAGTGCGCTTTGCGCACTAAATTTTAAAATTGAAGTGCGATTTGTGCGCTAAATTTTAAAATTAATGCGTGCTTAGTACACTAATAATTAAACCTATATATATAGACATATATTAAGTTTTGGGAATATGCTTTTATTCACATATCTTTAAAATTCGGCTTATACTATTGGCGCTGGTAAATATTAAATATAGCACACATCACCTGATATTTTTATTAGTAAAATAATGATTATAATGTGCGGTGATGCGCATTCAAAATTTTTTTTTGTTCACAAAAATAGAACTTACGTGCGGAATGAACATAGCGCATCAATTTTTTTTCACTTCCTTATGCTAAGAAAATGGATCTGCAAAATTTAGGTTCGGAACCAATAAAATTGCAAGACTTCGTGTAATGTAAACAAACACTAACCTAACGCCAAACAAAAAAACTGTAAATACTACAAAATTTTATTAATATAACCAGCTATGTACTTCTAAATAAAACGTGTAGCATGAAATTTTACATAGAGACAAGCCGTTTTATGTTAAAATAAACAAAAGGGGGTATTATTATCGAAATTGTGCTTTATGTCGGATGTAGATACCCGTGGGAGAAATGGTGTGCGGTTTACATTTAATTCAACGTGATCATAACCCATTTCATTGCTCCAAGTTTTCACATGCACAGAATTTTAAATTGTACTAATCAAGTTTAAACAGGTATTATAATCTAAATAGTCTTATAATTCTGGTCAAATTTGCAGATTGTTTAACTACATTCGGAATAGAAAAGCTCTGGGTTTGGCCAACGATTTGCAAATTTGACCCGAGTTATAAGTACTGTAATCGGTTTACAGTCAAAGTCAGCCATAATGAAAAGTATTGATCAAAAACATTCAATAATCTGATATTAGCACTCTGTACGTATTAAAGTATCACTATCGATTAATTCATTCATATACGCATTCTCCATTCCTGGTTTCAGTCGCGCAGCTATCTAGTTACATATTGCATAAATCGTATTCTTGATATTTTATAACCATTAACCTAAATGCATCAAAAAAAGTAACCCCTAACCGGGCACGGCTTTAGTAATCCCCTTTCTTTTGCAAAAAAGTCATGTTCTGATCGTTCTATTTTGGTTCTATGGGCTAAATTTGCACCAATCATCGTTTGCTCGTTTATTTGATGCACAACTGCCTTTTAAAGCTTCAGGGATTCCAACTGATCCCTGGACAACCTATATGTAAACTAAACTTCGCAAGAATTATTTTGAAGGTTTTCATTGAAATGGCTTTATCGTTATTTTCAATCTATTAAAACGATTCCGGAATAAAAGTTTATACTATATTGCAGATCAATTTCCATATCTGAGTACTGTTAAGTAAATGCGAAAACTCCGATGCTTTATGTCGGAAAATTTCATGCTTATTCAATTTTTAAAACCCGATGTATTTTTCCGCATAAAAGTGATTTGCCATGTTAAGGTCAGTGCATTTTTAATAATTCTCATTTGGGATATTCCGTTCTGGATCAACAAGATGCATAATAACCAAAAAACAAACAAAATAATTGGTATTCCTTGGTTAGTAATTAAACATTATCCTGAATACAATTTGTCCATTCATTAGTTTTATTTTAGTTTTTAAAAAATTCGGATGAGATTCTTCCCGAAAATGTTTTTTTTCAATGGTGAAACAATTAATTTTTCAACGATCCATGCATACCATACTTCGATCATCATCATGAGCATGTTAATTAAATAAGCGACTAATGCATTATCTAATATCAAAGTTAAGGATTGCCAAATTTTCGGTTACGTACCATTGCCATCGCTGTATAAAAATTTGTAATTTTAATTAAGCAATGTAATTGGTTAATTCAGTTTTGTTTTTTGACGGCAAAAATTTTAGATAAGCTGGTACGTACGTACAGTACGTACATAAGTAGCTGGTAGAGGTGTATTATAGTAATATAAACTTGATAGACTAAGTCACAAAATAGAGTTTATACAGTTTAAAATCGAGATAATTGATATTTTCATGAAAACTTTTTTTCCTATTCTAACAAAAATTTTTCATATAATTTATACGTATTACTTGTATTTTATTATTGCTTTATTCGAACTTTACTCAAGTCTAAACTAAACTAATATAAGTTGGTTTTAGATTTTCTCTTATTCTTATTATTAATCCGGTTATTAATCTTGTTATTAATCTTGTTATACATTAAAATGCATCTGTATGTATATTTTTTTTTATGCTGCTTCTTCCGAAATAATTATCATGGGTTGCAATTTTCGTCCTAATTGGGAGTAATTTTGGTAACTTCATTTGCAATAAAGTGGTGCGTTATTTGAAAAGTGTACAAGAAAAAAATTTATTAATTTGTTAAATTAAGATTATAAAAAAAGAAATTCTTCATATAAACATAAACTCTTAAAGATAACTATATTTTAATTGCTCGATTTAAGATATGTACTGTACGTACGTAATAGCATAGTTACGCTTATTTACATATAATTTATTTTGTATATAGCAATGGAATTTTCAGATTTGTACTACAAATATATATTGTATGTATGCTAAAGTAAATAAACATCAGAATATATACTGTACAATTACGGTTATGCATATAAATTCAGTCTAAGCGCGATTTTCCTTAACATCTGTGAGTGTTTGTAACAAATTCACTATGGAGATGTTTGTTTGGCCGAGAATGGTGTGAGTCAAAATTTCTCCATTTAAGCAAATTTTCTTCAAAAAAAAAATGATTTGTTATATATTAAATATGCATTATATAACATATTACATAAAATATAATAGTAACCATTATGTAACCTTGTACACTCGTCTAAGGACTGGTCGAAACTCTAATCTTGTAGATCATTCGACGATGAATTTCTATTATTGACGTTAAGCTGAATGCTCATCTGCTGAATTGCATTTTTATGTATTAAATATTGAACTAATTGGTTTAAATTCTAAACCTAGGGTGAAATCAAATATATACTGTAGAATCCTATTCAAAATCCATGTAACAATGGCAAAGGTCTAAATTAACAAAAGGATATGAAACTTGAATATCTTTGCTCATCTGCATTGATGTGTTATTTCTATTGGTAACAGGCACATCACATGGTAATTAGTTTTCACTGTAGCCAATAGGAACCGTGTGAATGCGAGAAAGTAGTTGCAAAATTAGTAAATTCCTTAAATTTGATCATTTAATTAATTTCCGATTACCATAAATTACTAATATGAAAATTTCATATTTATACTGCAGTTTTTTTTTTAAAAAAAACATTTTTTATTTCAATTTTGCGAAATCATTTCCCTACGATTGTTTTTCACTCTATATACCTATTTAGATCGTCTTTTAATTCCATCATGAGTTACGAAACAAATTCTTCGCTTACCAGTGATATCAGAGACCACCCTGGCTTTTATATAATTATACCAGCTGGCTTAATTGCCGGCTGTATGAATGGCATTTGCTCAGCTTACCTTATTATAAGGATATTGTGTCGATGGTGGGTGACTGATAGATCCCTATCGATGGCTCATAGGGTGCCATTTTATATGTCTATTGCCGGTATGTCCTTCATATTTTACATTTAAATATTTTAAATATACTAGTATTACTTAAACTGTCTATTTTTTTTCATTATTAAATTCAAATAATTTAAATAATTTAGAATTGAATTTATTTTTAATCAATCTAGTTAATACAGTATGTATTTCCTTCAATAACGATAATCCTAAAAAAATCATGTATACATTAATACGCTAACTTACTTATTTTAAATAAATAAGACATACTCAGCTGTTAACGGTCAAACTCTTCAAGGCGTAGGGTGCAAAGTAGCTGGTGGAATAACATTCTTTTTTGTCGCATTTAATGTGACCTTAGTTGGTTCATTGTCTTTGACAACTTACCTTCGAATATGTAGAAAACTTATTATTAACTTTGGAAGATATGATTATAAATTATTTTCTTTCATTATTTTAATATCTTTAACATTAACCTTGATTGGTGTTCACGATTATGGTCCAAATAAATTTTGGTAGGTCTTATGTTAAATATCTTTATGTAACTTGTGAGTTCCGTCAAATTCTTACATATATCTTATTTAACAGGTGTTATAGTGCTCCAACTGATCCAATAACGCCTCTAGTAACTGTTGCTTTAATTTTTTTAATTTTATTCGTTACTTCATATTGTTATGTTATGACCTTATTGGAAGTTAATATCCAACAAAAAAAACATTCGACAACTTGGTTCTGATGCTGTTAAATTTAATCGCATTGATCTTATTGTTGTGAGAAAAATTATTGGCTATATTCTAATATTCCTTATAGAATGGATTCCTACGATAGTTTATTTCATTGCTCAAATGGTTCAAGTATGTATGAATGTGCAGGAGTCACGTGTGTCGTTTGTCTCGAACTTTGTGACTAAATTTCCTTTTTTTTCTTTAGTACGATAATATATGGATTTATACCGTAGCTGTAGTTACTATAAATTTTGGCGGTTTAGGAAATATGATACTATATATTGGGCATGAAAGTTGGACGAATAAATACGATTCATCCGACAATTCTGGTTCTATTAGAAATACCAATGAAAGTGGTGCTTTCATCTTAAATAGCTCTAGTAAAAGCAGCAACAACAATCAAGAATTATATCCTCAAATAACAGTTCATAATACTATTACAATTGAAAAAGAAAATTTTGCTTCTAGTTCATCAACTTTGGGTTTACCAACTCAGGAACGTAATTGAAAAAAAAAGTCTTATTGAAAAACGTTTATGCAAAATTTCCTTTACGACTAGTCTCGGAATTTCTTTTCTAATTATAAGATTATTTTTGTTTAATGATCTTTTTGTAAGATTTTAAGGTTCATTAAGATGTATTTTGCTCCTTTTCTTTACTCTTCAAAATATGGTATGGTTTTAATGTGCAACCAAAATTTATTTGCTTCTCTGTAATTTTTCAATCAAAACATCAACAACTTTTTATAGTTATTTGTAGAAAATTTTTTTACCCCTCACTTTTTACATTATATTGCCGATTTTTTAGGTAGAGTTTTTTTGGTATAATGTGGGCTAACATTATAGTTGTGACCCGAAACCCGAAACCTTTTTGAAAATTAATATTCATTTGCTATAAAGTAATCAAAAAACTATTGGAATGCAATCTAATTATCATATACTTTAAGTTTTAAAGTTTAAATTTAAATTTCTAAGCTTTCCAGTATAGTGTTCGAGTTTTGGAAAAGGTTTCAGGTTTCGGGTTTCGGGTTTCGGTTTCGGGAATTTATATATAGTTTCGGGTTTCGGGTTACAACTATAGCTAACATGAGCTTCTCTTAATAAAAAAAAAAACGAAAATTTTGAATTTACATAATCATCTATGATTGGTTAAAGTCTACAAGTATCAATATCGCATTTTCCGAATTGTAGGGATGTTAGACTGCATTTTCCCAGAACAGCCTTGGACTCATTACTTAAAAAAAAAAAAAATTAGAATCTATTATTCTATTTGATCTTTCGTATTCTTTATTTTTGTTTCTTATAACGAACCGGTTTTAGTAAAATTTAACCTGGTTTCAAAAAACCCAAAAAACGATATACATATTTTTTAAAAAAACTATTTAATCTCAAAAATTTACATAAGAAATTACCTTTTATGCTTTAACAAAAAATTTTCTCAAGTAATTTTTATCGATTTTTGTCAATTCATGTGATCCAGAAAATTTCTCCTACACCTTGGATCCGCCGGTTTCAAACCGATTAACTCAATTTTCACAATTATGATCTCGATCTTTCTAGAAAACAACTTATTTATTTTCAAATGAGCGATGTATTAACTTTATTTCATAAAGTACGCCACCGGCGTCCGGGGTATTCCCCTGGTTAAAATCGAAAAAAAAACAAACTTTATTTCATTTTCCGATAAATTTGAAATAATGATTTTTGTCTTTGGAAAAGTTATTTATTCCGTTAAATGGGAGTCTCTAAACACTCCCATTTCATTTTTTGATTTTAAAATTTTGGAATGCAAATAAGATTTTTCAAACTCCCATTTATTTTAAAATGCGCTACTTTTTTCTTAACTTTGAAAACCCAATTGAAAATAAAATCAGATTGACGTATTACTTATTTCAAAAATAAATACGTCACTAATTTCAATGGAAATTAGATTCCCGTATTTTAACTTTGAAACCCACTTTCAAATGAGTGATGTATAAACTTTATTTCATTTCCGATAAATTTATAATGATCTTAATTGTTGAAAAGTTTACTTATTGGAGTCTCTAAACACTCCTATTTCATTTTCCAATTTCCAAATAAATCTGAAATCCCTATTGTTCCAAACATTCATATTGAGAACTAATTAGGAGTAGTAAATAAGCAAGGTTTATCAGCTGTTCTAATGGTACAAATCTTTCGCTGATCAGAAGTAACCTAAAATCAAAACAAATATACACGCAAACTCTAACTCTGGTACCGAAATGCTTAGTATCGATATACACAGTATTAATTAGAAATTTAAATTTAAACTTTAAAACTTAAAGTATATGATAATTAGATTGCATTCCAATAGTTTTTTGAT